TTAGTTTGTGTCACACAGCTGATCCATAATAGTTGATTAGTGGAGTCACAGAACACAGATATGCTTTCCCTCTCTCTTTCTTCCTCCTTCTCTTTCTTTCTCCTCCACTCTTTCCATTTCCCCCCTCTCCCTTCCTCACTATTCCACCCTTCCTCCTCCTCTTTTCCCCTCTTTCTTTCTCCCCTTTCTCCCTTCCTCCTCTTTTTCCATTCCTCCCCTCTTTCTTTCCCCCCTCTCCCTTCCTCCCCCTCTTCCATTCCTCCCTCTCTTCCCCCTCCCTTCCTCAGCCTCTTTCTTTCTCCCCCTCTTTCTCTTCCTTCCTCCTCCCCTCTTTCTTCCTCATCTTTCTTTCTTCTCTTCTCCTTCCATTCTTCCCTCTCCTTTTCTCACCATTCCACCCTTCCTCACCCTCTTTCCATTCCTCCCTCTTCCTCTTTCGTTCTCCTCCTCTTTTCTCTTCCTCCTCTGCTTTCTTTCTCTCCCTCTTTCCCCCCTCTCCCTTCCTTACCCTCTTTTTATCCTCTTTTCATTCCTGCCCTCTTTCTTCCTTCCTCCTCCTCTCTTTTGTTCTCCTATTTCCATTCTTCCCCTCTTTCTTCCTCCTCATTATTTCTTCTTCTCTCCTGCCATCCCCCCCTCTCCTTTTCTCACCATTCCACCCTTCCTCACCCTCTCTTTCTCCGTTCCTCCCTCTCCCTTCCTCACTTTCTCTCCCTTTCTCTCTCTTCCTTCATCCCTCTCTTTCACCTTTGCTCTCTCTAGTGTGCTCTCTCCTTCTACCTTCCCCAATGCCTTTTAAAAGTAACATTAACCAGTAACATTTTAAAATATAACCCCCATGGAGGGAATTTTACTATAGTGTTTGTAATGAGGTCTATCGAATAATAGTTTGAAGGACTAACATTCTGCCCCCCCACACCCAACAACTACTAATATCACTAGTACAACTAGTAGTGCTACTTCAACTAATACTGCTACTACCATTACTAATACTACTACTAGTATTTCAACTGGTGTTAATACTAAATGACTCTTACTACTACTAATACTAATAGTAGTTGTACTAAAAATACTATTTCTACCAGTAGCAGTGACTCGGCAACTGATATTACTACTCTTACTACTATAAGAAAACATACTACCAGTATTTATACTGCTATTAATACCACAACTACTACTCATTTTACTACAAATACTACAATGACTAACAGTTTAGTACTACAAATGATACAACTAGTAGTACTACTAACACTATTTTTCTACTGCTATTGATACTAAAACTACTACTTATTCTAATAATATATTATTACTGCCAAAATTACAATTGCTACTAATATTACTTTAGTAGTATTATTATATAGTAGTATTATATTTTTTAAGACTCAACTCAGCTTTTGTCATTTCTGAATTTTCAGCAATATTTAAATTTATAAATTAATTTTTTTCTTGTATTTTTTATTCCAATATTTTTTTAGTCCATTTCAGATTCTTCCATTTCTGTATTTCCACCAATTTCTTGTAATATATTTAAGCTTTTCTCAACTGTGTATTTTCAGCAAATCTATTGAATTTCAGCTTTTCTGATGTCTGTACTTTCATCAATTTTTGATATTCTTTCTTCTATAGTTGTTTCATTTCTTTAGTTTCAGCAAATCTGTGGAAATTCCTTTCCGCTTCTCCCATTTCTGTATTTTCAGCAATTTCAAATTAATTTCAGCTTTTCTAATATCTGTATTTTCAGCAAATGTATAAAAATTCCCTTCAACTTTCTTCATCAAGTTCATTTCAGGTTTCAGCATTTTGCATTCCAACGCATTTTCAGCAGGAAATGCATTTTAGATAGATGCTTTTTTTTATAGACTTTAATTTACTCCAGTGGGTAATTTCCTTGTTTGGTTTTTCATTCCATGAAATCAGCTGCTGCAGTGGTTTTGTGAAGTTTTGTGCGGACCCTACATTCCAAACCGCACACTCTGCTCTACATCTGCCAAACTGCTTGTTCCTCCCTCACTGAGAGTAAAACACTTGACAAGATCACAACTCTTTGCTGTCCTGGTTCCTAAATGGTGGAATGAGCTCTCTGATGACACCAGGACCGCAGACCGCAAAAAAACTGATCAAACAGTGTGTCTGTCTGTTGGAGGTATTTAGGGTGGGAGGCTCAACAATAACATTGTTTCATCATGTTTACAATCCAACGCATACGTATGTTTAATCTATGCATTTTGTTGGAACATGTGTCCATGTAGGGTCAGAGATTATCCACTGAGTGTGTGCGTGTGTTATTTAGAGAAACATTAGAGAGATTTGGTCTACCCATCTTTTTCATATATCCCATTACCAGCTGGTGGAATCCAAAGTATGTGTGTGTGTGTGTGTGTGTGTGTGTGTGTGTGTGTGTGTGTGTGTGCGTTTGAGACAGGGAGAATCTTTAAGACTCAACATGCGTTCTTGTCTAGACTTGTGTTCTCGTGGACTCGTGAAATGTCATCAGTCGCAGCCCGAGTACTGTGAGGTGTAGTTAACGGGACCGCCAGAGCTCTCCAGCAGCGGGCGGTCGGCCTCATCTCGGCCCGCAGGGAGCAGCCTGTTTTAGGCAAGTCTTCTGTGAAATGCTCTGCTGGTTTTCACGTCTCAGCGACGGTTATACATGAGCCAGAACTATACTATAACTATAAGAGTGAGTGTTCATATCTTCTAGTCTGTTGTCAGAGACTGTTTTTTGTTCACCGCTAATGTTAAGTTTGTTGGAGGGCAAGTTTAGATTCATAACTACACGTTTTTATTAAACTTTACCATATTGTCAGTGTGCAGGCTTGTAATGTTCTGAACATTCTCTCTCACTTGTTTTATAGTGTGTGTGCATACCAGGCTCTCAATATTCCGCACACCCATGGCTTTTATCACAGAGTCACAACTCATCCATCACGGCTAATCACTTGTCCTCCATTGTCATGTTTCTGCTCACACTCTCTCATGTGAGGCGGTATCGGTGTCACACTGAGAGATGCGCAGCACGTTTCCACTTAACACATAGCGACGCAATATCCAGCATTCAGCCCACGCACAATGCCCCCCCCCCCGACTGAACTAATTCTAATTCATGGCCAGGCTGGTGACAGCAGCCAACCCATCACCCTCATGCTACCCTAAAACGCTTTCTTTCCTTGCCCTCTTTGTTTGTTATGTTTACTATTCCTGTGTGGCCCCAATGAAGGTGGTCCGAGTCGTCCTTTCACTGCGATTCAAAAAAATGGCACCCCCCCGAAGGAGGAATCCTAGGAGAAACACTGTTAATACAGTAATATTTGTGTTGTATATAGTAAACTATGCAAACTACGGATGAGTAAACTTTTGTTTTTCAGAAAGTTTTTCACAAGTTATAGTTATCATCTCTCTCCGTCCACACATCAAGCATCAATCTACACTTATAAAACAACAACTAGCAATTGTTGATCTGATAAAGGTTTTCTAATTGATCTGACTCAAAAACAAAGCTTTGCCATAAACAACTAACAAAAAACGTGTCAGGCCAAACAAACCTGACGTTGCCCTAAAAAGTATTTTCAGTTCACAAGCATTTATGAGTTGAGCCCCATTTTTTTTATTTTACGAAAACCTTTTACGACTGCGCGCATGCGCCTTGGTGTCTTGTACGTGATTTCTGAGTTGGAGTCGGCACTAAAAGCGGGCGTGGTGGTCGGACATCTTGTGTGAAGGCAAATTTAACTGAGCCGAAGAGATTCTCAAACTACTTGTCAACCTGAAGTTTCCCCTAATCAGGTAAGTGTTATTTTTACTAGACAGCCAATGTTCTCTGTACAGTCCTATGTCAAAAGAGCTACCAACGTTAGCTTTGTTACCGCGACATGCAGTTTCTGCAATATGCATTTAAGTCACCGTTGCATCTTAAAAAGAGATTCATAGAACTTGTGGCAATGTCAGTTCAAAATAGGGACATACATTCAGTGTTTTAACTATTCAAGTTCATTTTTAGTATTCCGCTATAAGTTAAGGGAATGTACACGCTCGCACGCAGTCATCTTTGCCTGTAAAGTGAAAATGCGTGGAATTCTAAATTCCAGTTCAGAAAAAATCTCCTCAGCACCTCAAAATCTGTCCTTCAATTTCATTGTGAATACCAGTAGATCAGGGTAACTGCCATGGCAAGTTTAGTTTTCCTGCAGTATAATACTTTCAGAAGATATGTGGAAGTGTCCGTTGCCAGTTCACAAGAGGAGCTGACACATTAGTAGAATGTCAGTGTGTCTTTTAACTGCGCTAGTTCATTGTGGTTTGAGCCCATGGAAAACGTGCTCTTGTGCAGCCACTTAGTATGTTGAGGTAGTGTTGTAATGTGAAACAAATCTGTTTGAAATCTGTGTACATAACGCCAAACTGACCTTATTAATATATGCCACTGACAGCCTCACAAGAATGTCCTAATTAGGGGGACGAGATAATTTAAGTTGACAGAAGTTTTTTTTTGTGTATCTACAATATCTGTCAATCTTTAAAACGCAAAACATAATCAACAATGTATTGATGGTTAATGAGAGAAAAATAGATTTTCAGATGGATGACGAGATGTGATGGTTAGACAGATGGATAGATGGAAGCTGACAGGCCGTATGGGTGTGTCTTTTCTGTTGGAAACCCTCGCGCAGCCTCCCGTACACACTGCACAGCCCCCTCCCTTCCACCACCAGTCATGCAGCCAAGTGCACCTACAAGCTGCCTCCAATCAGCGAGGAAAACCCGCTGAAATCTCTCCTGCACGAAGTCAAACCTGAACCGTCTGCCACTGAAAGACGGGATCGTGGACGTAGCGGGCGGAACACCCTACAAAGTAGGACCGCTGTCGGACAGAGTGACGCGGCCGAGCCTCGGTGCGGATTACTGCGTCCTCCCAACGGGTGGCGATTCTTCTCTTTTTCTCTCCAAAAACCGGCGAGTTTCGGTATGCACAAGCGTGCACGCTCTCACGGGGAGTTGTAAGTAGAGCTTCAGTCGTTGCCACGCCATCGTTATTGGCCACGCCACGCCATGCAATTATTTTACCATCCTAAATAATCATTTCCAGGACTCCTCGGTGGATTATTATCAGAGTTGTTTGTCAGTCTTGCGAGTTATAATTGCTGACGGAGGACGGAGCTAGACACCGCCCTGACCCGCTTCGAGTCTGCCGGACCCGGATTGCATATTCTTTCTAGGTTTCGGACAGGTGCCAGACCCCCCGCGCGCTGACGGGGGGAAGCCGCGCGCATTACGGGAATATCTTTTTTTTTTGGACGGGGTGTAGGGGAATCGAAATAGTTTTATTTGGCCCAATCTGGACGGATAGCTGCACATTCTGGAGGACCCCCCCCCCCGTTCAAATTCCGCAGACTGATGCTCGGATATTTGAAACGTAATTTGCACTCAAGGACACCCTGCGCATCGGTGGGTGTAGTTTCTTATTTGGGGTTTAGAGCGATCACGCGCGATATATATTAACGTTAATGTGTGTTTTTAAATGGGAATTGAGATGCGCATCCTCCACCCGCCCCCATCGTTTGTGGATGTGCACTTGAACGCTTGTCGTGGGTCTGCACAGTGAGGACCACCGGCACCTGGATGGCCGGTTCGCCCTCTTTTCCTCTCTCTGCTGCCCGAATGCGCGCACGTCTGTGCCGGTAATTCCGCCTCTCCTGCTGCCACCCAGTCCCAACACACACAAACACACGCACGCACACGCAAACACAGTCCCGTCTATTCAGCTCCCAGCAAAACTACCAATAGAGCTTCCTTCTGCTCGTATGTGCACGGGAAAGGAGTCGCGCGGTAGAGGAGCGCAGGAGTTGGGATAAGCAGCCGAACCTGATCACCTTTTTTCTTTTCTTTTTAACGCCTGTCAAGGGGCTTCTCGTTGTGATTTAAAACTCATCTGCTAGCTGACGGAGAGGAGGAAGAGGAAGATAAAGGGATTCTGGTGAAAAAGACGCAAACTGAGAGGAGAGAAGGTGGAGAGATCGATGAAGGTAAGGCTCATTGAACGCAGGGTGTGTGAGATGGCGACCGAGCTCTGCTATGCAGTTGCTTTTTTCCTCTTTGCCAAAGGGATGCCAGGCTCGCTGCAGTGCCAACAGGAGTTTTATTCTTAGTGTCCAGGAAATGAATCATCTCTGTAATCTGATTAGTGCTCGGACTTAATCCCGCTCCCTCTCTGACTGCTCTTCTGTTTTTTTCTGTTTGTGCCAGTGCGCTGGCACTGTTGGTGGACTCTTCCATCCTCTCAGGCGGGTGATTTATTTAAAGCTTTCCAAAAACACGTAGCGCACAGCCCCTCGCATGCGGTGTTCCTCTCTGCTGCTTCAGACAGTGGAAGACTTCGTTGTTATTTTTCATCTTACTTCTGTACTGCGATGCTTTTTTTTCTTGGCTTTGCTGACAGCCCCCGCTGTTCCTCTATGGGAATGTGTGCGTGCGCGCATCAGGCCAATGCGCGCGCATCTACGGGGGCGTCCGTTCACGCGCTTTGGTTGAAGCGCAGTAATATAACCCATTCCAGAGGGATCTCTCTCTCTCTCTCTCTGTTTCTAAAGCTGCCTCATCATGCCGCTCCAGTTGACTGGCGTTACAGCCACATCTATTATGCAGGAGGCTTGGAGATGAGAACACCAGAGAGGAGAGGGTGGGGGGGACCATCCCCTATCTCCCAACAGAGGATGCCTAAAAATAAAAGAGAAAGGCAGAGGAGATGATGTGGGAGAAGAGGGGTAGTTGGTAAATACAAGTATTTGGACAAGCTGCTTGTGGATTGTGAATAGATTCAAACAAGTTGACCATCATTCAGGACCATGGGAAGCTACTTAAAGACAGCCTAGAGTCCAAAGAGCAGTCTAACAATGTAAAGCGTGCCGGTAACGAGGTTAGCCAATGTTTCTGATGGGATGGAGTGAATGGATGTGGTTTGAGATCTCTAGCAATGTCGTTGAACCACAGTGAGCTCTGGGTGGTTTCAGAACCATGGAGAGCACTTACAGTTGAAAAGTGGACTGGTCTACAGGCCTGGGACAGCTCCTTAGACGTCTTCGGGTTCCCAGGCACATTGTAATAGAAAGTGGCTTCACTGCGTGTTGAGGTACATTTACGCTCGACGGATGTAAACACAGCAGAAAATCTCAGTTCCATTGGTCCGTGTTTGAGCTTCCCTATATAATGAGATGAAATGAGCTAGAAGGTTGTGTTCTGCAGGTCCAACTCTCAACATGTCGTCAGCAACCTGGCCTGCTGAAGTGTTCTTGAGCCAGACATCTGAATTACTTCCACTTTCACCCGTTACTGTTAGTCCGCTGACCCCGACCTCTGACCTTGAGAAGAGAATACCGATAGTACATTCCATTAAATATGTAACTCTTGTTAATGTAGTTTCAGTCCACGGATATAACCATATCCATATGATCTATAATTGATTTTTAAAATCACAATTTGATTGCAAAGATCTTTTGGAACCCCACAAGAATAAAAGCTTTTGCAGTTTAGTGCTTCTTCTGCTTTGTTGTTACATATTTTGATTTATACGTAATTCTTTCAATAATTAACCGTGCAGTTTTTTGTTGCATCTATAATTTGCTACTGGTTTTATTATATTGAAATATAATAATATTAATAGAAATATCAACAATGCAGGCCTCAACAGTAACTTTATGGTGGTGTGGTTGCCATGCATTAGCTGTTTGTTACATAAACTGGGATTATGATCTTCATTTAATCACCATATATTTTAAATAATTGGGAAATGCCACAGTCACATCAACTTTATAAAAATATAAATGAAAGAAATACATTTTATTGTATATAGCAAAATTGTAGTGCAACAAATATTGAACTAAACTTGTGTTTTGTTTACTGTCTAAATATTTAGACATATAATATACCACTAAATAAGTGGACATTAAACGGGACAATAAAGTGGTTGCCAAAATTTCTCAAAATGGTTACCGATGGTTGCTCTTTCTGTTGAGCCCTAAAATTACAAAGTTTCTACTACTTTTAATTTATGAGGCTGAAATACATTTGTGATCTTAAGAGGGAGCAGGATTTGGGGAAAAGGAGGGGCGTCTGTGCTTTTGGCAGTCTTTGTTGATTCTTTCCGGCCTGCTCTGGCAAAGGCCTACTCACACAGTAAACAAGAGACAGGCTTGCTTATACAAGCAAACTGGCAGACAGGTTGGCACGGACAGAGAATGAAGCCAGGAGAGAATCCACCTGGTGCTTGATTGTGATAAAAGGAGGAAATGTGTTAATGCGACTGGAGTGACGCGTTGTTTTGTGGCGACGATCATCCTATGAACAGCATTACCGAGTCCTTCACTTCCCATTAGCAGAGAGACTGCATCTCACCTTCACACTTTTTCTCAGCATCCCGCTCTGATGTGTTTTCCACCCTCCTCTACCTGTGGCACATTTTGTTGGCTGCCTTTCCCATTTCAGACAAACATGGGAAAGACTCAACTGCCCTCAAGCGCGAGTCATATGCATCTAACTGAGTAGAAGCTGAAAATGTGATTAATGGAAAAGACTTTGCATCCTTGAAGTCAGTTCTACCTCTGAATCAGTTTTGGAACCTGCTGAAAGGAAACAAACATCTGACTACTCCATACAGTGTACACTAAGAAGTCATCAGGACATTCCCCATTTGTTTGATTAGTGCCATTTTGAAGCCTTCGGTTTGGGGGTTTTCCGTCCCCATTTTGAAATACAGCCGTTGCCAGTTTGGCTTATTTTCAACAAATTTATGCAATCTTTTCAAGCCAGCATGCAGAAATACGTGTTTTTTGAACAGTTTGATGTGCAATGCAGTTGTTAGATGTTTTGTTTGGTGGAGTAGACCTTCAGATAAATTCCAGAAGCGGTACTTGTTACACATAAATGCTTGTTATGTAACAACGCCCCCGCTCGAGCGACAGATGAGCAGGTAAGAGGCCGTAACAAATATCCAGATCATAATGTGTGATTTACATTCCCGTGGAAACTCGCATCTTGTCTGGTAAAATAATTAATCCGTGGCTTAAACTCCCTCTGCCTGGAGCTACACACTCAATCCCGCCATCCATTGACCATCTGTTTCTTCATCCATCTGTCCATCAAAACCAGCTCACTGGCCTCGCCTGCATTCTTTTTTATTTTCAGAGATTCTCAGATTGGCTGTGGGGAGATGTGTTGTAGCTCTGCAGCTTTCTACTGAAAACATTCCCTTCACATGAAATGCTACAGTGGTTGACTGAACTTCTTTCTTTGGTCCCCAGGTGGTCCTTCTTATCAGCAAAATGTAAATTCCTTTGCAGTGCTGCACACTTTGTTGGCATGTGTTTTATTTTTTACTCAGTTGGGGTGAAATTACAAACTACGAACAGTAGAACTGCTACTTTCATTTAGAGTTTTCCCAAAAGCAAAGAGAACGATGGAAAATGTGTTTACCTTAATCCCCTTCCCCATTTTACAACATCTTTATAACACTAAAAGGTGTTGACTTATACTGATGAAGATGATAAAGTAATGACTATAATAGTAGCTGAAAACTAAACTAAACCGGTGTGTGGCTATTCATTCTCTCGGTGATCTAAATGGTTGTCAGTAGTTGGTGGCTTTTACCTGGTGCAGTAATATTCACTTACTCCCACACATGACACAAATACTGTTATAAAGTGTTCATTTATTTATGGCCCTCCTAATTTTCACTCCTCCTCCTCATGTCCTTTCTATAGTTTATTTTAGTAAATTGTTTAGTGATAAAGGCTTTTCTAAAGAGAGCACAGGCATGTGACCTACATTTGTGCCCAAAATAAGGGAGTGCAGTTCTTTTGCTTTGTCGGACTAATGGAACAATTAACAGTGCTGTAAAATGATAGAGACCGAGGACCCAAAAGCTATTGTGATTGTTTTTTTTTCTTCATAAAAAAAGTAATAAAAGTTATGATATTTACATAAATTCTAGTTATTTAGTTAATAACCCCAAACAAAATGGTGTTTTGCTCAGATTGGAACATGGAGGTGTCCATGCTGGCAGTTACAGCTGCTAAGGATGTTAATCTGATCTCAGTTCGGTCAGGAAGCTTAAACAGCTGATTGGAAGAGAACTCTCCCAGACATGTTTGAGGAGTGCTCCAAACTTCAGCAACAATTAACGGTTTCATAAATAAAGCTTTCTTGTCTTTTTTTTCTTTGTCAAATAAGGAATCCCTTTCCCTCGCGCAGTAAAGATCCAGTCTGAATGCAATAAAACAGCTCAGAGCAGATAACGTGCAACCAGAGGGTCATTTCTTCTCTTCCGCTGGCCACCGGAGTGAGCCTTCACGTCCAATCTGACAGCAGAGGTATTAATGAGAAAAATGGTAAATCGTGTCAAGTTTAAATTGAATGTGAGCCTGCGTGATGCCCCATGAGGGCCAAAAGTGTGCGGACACATGACAGGCACAACTCCAGTGTAAATTCAATATGGGTGTCAGCATGCTAATCTCAGCAGGACACCGATGTAATGCTCATCACGTCTCGCTGTGTCGTTCCGTTTCCACTGTAGATCAATCTACTTTATCCATCTCCATCTTTTCTCCTCTCCACACATCTCCCTCTTTTTCTCTTTGTTGCTTGATTTATTCCTCCGTCCGTCCGTCTCTCTCTCTGCCTCTCTTTTTCAAGTTGAAGGTCATATCTGACAGCTCCCTGATGGATGGTGTAGTATGACGAAAGGGAACCGAACACAGTAGCACTCAGTTTTTGTTGTCGATTGGTTGTTTTGAGCCGGGGCGGAGTGGGGAACCACACCTGTAAAAATGATGAGCAGCTGATGGAGTGTGTGTGTGCACCTATGTGTGTGATTGTTGTAATTAGTCCAATGAATATTTAATTTATAAAGAACTTGATCATTTGAGGTTTGCAACCTTTCAAGGGGGGCGCCCCCCCATTCAAAAACTGATATAATAAGCTGCTGTCCACCATGAGATCTCAGAGCAACATAGATTTCAATTTAAATACAATT